ACCTCACTTGTTTGGGGTTAGAATCCATAAATCAGAGAGAGCATTCGGCCTTTAGTTTTTTGGGATTGGCTTGTTTCACTTAACATGATATTCTCTAGTTCCATCCATTTGCCTGCAAATGCCATTATTTCATTCTTATTAGAATGAGTAATATTTCACTGTGTATACATGTATTTTATTTACCCATTCATTTATTTAAGAACACCTACTTTGTTTCCATAGTTTGACTATTGTGAGTTGAGCTACTATAAACATTGATTTGTCTGTGTCATTATAGTATGCTGTTTTTAATTCCTTTGGGTATAGATGGAAGAATGGGATAACTGGGTCAAATGGTGGTTCCATTCCAAGCTTCCTAGGGAATCTCCATGTGGTTTTCCAGAGTGGTTGCAACAATTTGCAGTCCCACTAGCAATGTATGAGTGTAGGTTTTTCCCTACATTCTGACCAACATGTATTGTTACTTGTATTCTAGATAATTGCTATTCTGACTGGAGTGAGTTGGAATCTCAGTGTAGTTTTAATTTGCATTTCTCTATTTGCTAGAAATGTTGAACATTTTTTTCGTATATTTTTTGACCATTCATATTTCTTCTTCTGTGAAGTGTCTGTTCAGTTCCTTTGTCCATGTTTGGATTGGGTTATTTGTTTTTCTGGTGTTAAGTTTTTTGAGTTCTTTGTATATCCTGGAAATTAATGCCTTATTTGAGGTACACCAGAAAAATAAATAACCCAAAGATTGGCAAAGATTTTCTCCCATTCTGAAGGGTCTTTGTTCATGTTCTTGATTGTTTTCTTTGCTGTGAAAAATCTTTTCAGTTTGCTACTTTTTTTCTTTTTATTTGTTCTTTTTAGTTATTCATGGGGATTGGAATTTTTCAAATTCTTTTTGAACATCTACTATGTTCCAAGCACTACATTCTCTAAGATTCAGTCATTTGGAAAACAGAGACCCTTCCTTCTGTCTCTTGAACTTTAGTAAAGGGCACAAGTAAGTAGTACAGCAGCTATGATTCAGTGTGGTGGTAGAGAACTACAGGATCCAAATTTAGAACACGTAACACAGCACCTTGTTCCTCATGTCATGTTGGGTGGTGTGGAGTGACAGGAAAGTAAGAAGATCAGCTGACTAACTGAAAGCTGGGTGGGGAAAGGGGATACCCACATGAAGAGTTGAAAGAGGATACTCCATATAGGCAAAACAGAATGTCAAATGCCAGGTATAAGTGAGTAGATCATTTCAAGAACTAGTAACTATTTGGTCTGACTTCAGATATGGATGAAGTAATGGAAAGGGAAGAAGAGTGGTAAGCAGGAGTCACCATGAATGACCTGTTAAGCCATACTAAGAAGTTTGGATTTCATCTTAAAGGCAATGAGGTTAACCAAGAGATATTCAAATTTATAACTCAGTAAAAACACTTGGTTGTAGTGTGGTGAATGTATGTTGGTGAACAAGAGAAAAGGAAGGCTAGAGAAAAAGAACCATTTTCATTCTTTGCAATAATTCAGGCAAAATAAGGAAGAAAGGCCAAAAGAACAAACGGATGAATGAAAAATGCTGATGTCTAAAACATGGCATGGTGGGAGTAAGCACTGGGAATAACGGATGAATCTGAGAGATATTTAAAAGACATATACCACAGAACTTGGGGACTAATTTTTATGTGTGGGCAATGAGAGAGGGCAGTCAGGGAGATACCTTATGGGTTTTTGTTGTTGTTTGTGGTTTGGGTAAATCTGTGCATAATTATACCATTCACTAAAAAAATAACTCAAGTGTTTCATGGGAATATAGATGATGATACTCAGTATCTGTGAGGCATTGATGAAGGTATAGACTAGTCACTTGGAAATATAGAGATAAAGATTATAAGAAAAATCTGGGTTGAAAATACTTATTTAGAAGTCATCTTGACATGACTAGTTTGAAGCTCTAAAGTAGGTAAGATCACTCGATGAATATATAGACTGACATGAAGAAAGAGGATATGCAGATATTTAAGGAAAGGGATAAGATAAGCCCAACAGTTAAATTGGGAAGACTGACCAGAAGGGTAGAGGAAAAGCAGTTGAATTTGGTGTCCTAGAAAACAAGAAAAGAAAGAACTGTAAGAAAGAGGTGATGATCAGCAGAGTTAAATACTTAAAAAAAAAAAAAAAAAAAAAAAACAGGAAAAAGACAAAAATTGCCCATGGACCTAGAAACAGTATGGCTACTGGTAAACTACTTTAGAGCAGTCTCTTTGAAGCATTAAGAGAGAATCCACATTATTGGAGATTAAAGTGTTAATGGGAGATGAAGATGTGGTTCAGAACAATTCCTTCATGAAACTTGGAAAGAGAGGTTGAAAGTTGGTGTGGAGTTGGAGAGAGATTTATTTTGAGAGTAAAAAGACTACATATGAGTGCTTACAGGAAGAAGTCAGTACAAAATAATGTAGGAAAATAATGAAGAAGTGAGACCCATGGAAGTGACCCAGAGACAAGAGGGATTTAAAGAGACAATGTGATTACATTTCTAACTGTTCAACATTTGCTGCCTCTCCAATCTCTGAGATTCAGGACTGAGTATAGTGATCTAAATTAGGAGAAACAATATAGTTAAAAATAACCCTGCCATCAATTATTCTAAATTTCATGTCCAATTTTACTAGTACCTGTCTATGTAAGACTGAGCAAATGGCTTAACTAGCTTGACATGTCCATGCAAAATCCTTAGTTCATATTTCTTTGATTAAAAAAATAAAGAGGTAACAGTAAATTTTAAAATAAAGAAGAATTATATGGGGATAATTCTGTCAACTATAGACTTTTTTCTGTTGTATAAATTTGCATGTTTTTATGTTAGAGATTTGGAATCCCCTTTTGATTAGAAAACAGCTATATTTTCTGTTTATACTGTATCTTTGGTGCAATTCAGTGATTACCATTAACATGGGCTCTTATAATCACTATATATCTTCTTGTTATAGATTTTAGATTACTAAAGAAGACACCTAAGATGTTTAACCTTAGTCTTTGAACATTATCAAAGATTTATATTTTATTGCAGTTGATTTGGAGATTTCCATAACACTGGCTCACTCAGGTGGATATTAGCAACTGTGACTATTAAGCAATAGAACAAATATACACTCAGGAAGTCTGAATTATAAGTCTTGCCATAGTTCTTGAAGGAATCACCCTAGACAAGCTGTTATGAATATCATGTTCTTCCTTATAAAATGGGTATGAACTTTCAAGTCCCCATTATAAAAGTCTGCAGAATATGTTGCAAGTCATTGTATCAATATAAAAAAATGATCCTTAACCCCAATAGCCAAAAGAAGGAATGGAGACTCTAAAATAGAGGTTGTTATATAATGGGAATATTCTGCCATTGGGTTTGATTTGGAGTCATTCTTTTCTGCTCAGAGGTCTTAAAAAATAACACTGTGTTGTAAATATTTTCTCCCAGTCTGTGTCTTACTTATTTCATTTTTGTAATTGTGAATTTTGAGAATTAAAATTTTTAATTAAAAAAAAAACACTGAAAAGAATGCTAAAAGAAGGGGGGGGGTCTTCCTTTCACTTCCTTCTAGTGATATTCTGAACTGGTCAGTTGCCCAAGTACCATCAATATCCCTTCAAGGATTTGCAGGGATCATATGGCTATCAGGGCAGTTACCTCTTTAAACAAAAAGAAAAATGTCTTGTTGGTCAGGAATACAGAGTCCATAGAGGCCAGAAAGAGTTAGAAAAATAAGATTCTTTTATTATTGAACCCCTTCATGTTTTCTCGTCTTCTCTCAGAAACATGCTCTCAGGGACAGTGTGAGCAACTGAGTAAAAAGGAAAAAGGGGGCGGGGATCACAGTCCAACCACAAACCTTTCTATTTGTAATCAGCACATAACCTCTGAGATGAAATTTGTGAATAATTCACATGCCACTTAAGCCTAGCAACGTGGAACCTAATGTTGCCACCCTGAACACTAATGAAGGAATCAGACAGCAGTACTGTTTGCCCTTGGGGACTCATCTCTCACATCACCAAAAAGTAATTTCTGTCATTTTCGGCCATCTGGTGGCCTGGATTGTCAAGATGGAATTTCATTCAGGAAGTGCCTGAGAGCATGATGGGTCCTAAAGTCTGCCTGGATTCAAATTCCTGTTCTGCTTTTTGCCAGATCTCATTTATGCCTCAGTGCCCCTCCTGTAAATAAAATCCTCATAGGATGTCATGTCTTTATTTTAAGAATTTATTAAGATGATACATGTACAGAACCTAGGGGTTTAGATAACTTTAATTAAAGTTATCTATCATTAAATTGTTAGTAGTAGAGGTGATGGGAATATTAAGAATAGTAGTAGTATAGACTTTTTCCAGTGTCTACTTGTTTGTGACATATGCCTTATTAATTCATTTTTATGTTCTAAAGTATATCATGTGGTCTGTTAACACTCTAAAAAATATTTACAAGATTTCTAATGTACTGATTAACCCATGGCTTCCTTCTGTTTCTAAGTGATAAGTACCACATTTTACTAAAAAAAAGTGATGGAATCTTATACTAAATAATGCTTATTCTCCTTGGCATTTGGAGGAGAAATTGGACTATATTATTTATATATATAAGGTAATACATTTAAGCAATAGTGCTAAGAAAAAAAATATTGTTATTTTATATAAATGTATATACCTTTTAATATTTAAAGAATTTTTTATCAGAAAATAGCTACAACATTTTCAATGTATGACTCTGGGTATTTTCTACAGCATTCAGATGGTCATAATGGGAGATATTCTCAACCTTATAGTACAGCTTTAGTACTATAAAGTCACCTTGGTGACTTGGTGAGCACATCTACAAGGATCTTAAAAGTTCCCTGGCTACTTAACATATAAGTTTAAATTAAGAAATTAAAGCTCAAATTTGCCTTTTCAGTAACACAGAAAATGCCACATGCCTGTTTTATTGACATAGTTAAATATTCTATTTGATTTTGTCTTTACAGTTCCACCAAAGATCTCCAACATCTCCTCGGATGTCACTGTGAATGAGGGCAGCAATGTGACTCTGGTCTGTATGGCCAATGGCCGCCCTGAACCTGTTATCACCTGGAGACACCTTACACCAACCGGTAAGCAACCCTCCAGTTTTCAAGATGCCACATTCTATTTAACATTCTGTTAGATCAGAAGGACAAGCATGCATCTTGTTATTAAAATGCTAAGAAAATCAAAACAAGGTCTTATTTCCAGTCCTTATGTTATCTGCTAATGTGTTCATTTCTATAAGTTTAGAATCATAGAATTGAAAATGTGTATGTGTGTTTATGTTTGTGTCTGTATGCATATTCATACATATATATATATATGTAAATACATGTATATACATATTCATATATATACATATTTTAATATGCATATACACATGTATATATACATATATCTTATTTCATTTTTAATAGAATACTTCCAAGGCAAAAAATATAGGAGTATTAAGTGACTTGATTTTATATCTAAAATGTATGTCAGTTTGGAGTTTGAGTGTCTTGGGGCAATGTTTTATTTGAATTAAAATTACAGAGCTTTCTGTAGTTTGTTTTGCTTTGCTTTTAACTATAGTTTTTACTATGTATTACTTTGTGAAGAAATTAGCCAGGAATAATATAATATTGTTTGTGACTTCTGCTGCTCTGTCTTTGGCATCGGGTTCTGTGATGCATCTCTAGCATGGACCAAGCTGCATGAGTTTATCATGGATGCCAGATACTGACACTAATCCAGGAACATCAGAAAAAGATTTCCCAGAAATGTCCTCCGAATCCTCTCCCCACAAAACACCCCTCCTTTCTACCTTCACATCAACTAGGTTCAAAAAACTTCTGGGGTTTTGAAGAGTATTTGAGTATTTTACCAAATTATTTGGGATTAACTACATGTATACTACCCTACTCTACCAATTATATTTTCTTATATGGAAAACTACCTTTCCAAGTATTGTAGTCATTATAGAATGGTGCCTGTTGTTTCATTATTTCAGAAAGAAGACCTATGGATAATTATTCCTATAAAATGTCTTTTTATTTTGATAGATAGCCCCCAAATTTTAATCAGTTTATGCCTCATGTTCTCTTATGGTTTCTTCATAAAATATCTAGAATTTAATTTATAATTTATTCGTTTTGGAATAAACACCTTAAAACCGTGTAAAGCTAGGCATAAAATGGCATATATCTGCCATTGAGATATTTCTAAAAGGCCAGGGTAGTGTTTTGTTTTAATGTCTTTACAAATCTCTGTGTTTTATAATTTGAGAACATGGGGTCCCCTGTAACATTATACCTAATTTCTCAGGTGAAGATTGAACCAACTTATGTATTTCGGCAAGTATTCTTGAAATTGTCACTCAAAATTCTTTCTTATTAATACTCGAAACTCTGCATTTATTGATAATATATGCAAGCAATGTTTGACATACTTATTTGGGAAATCAATGTCAAAATTGTTTTATACCTCACACGGGGGAAAAGACACATATGAAAGATTGAAGATATCATCCATCTTTCCCCTGAAATGAACTAAAAACCTTTGGAGAACATTGTACCTGGATATCACTGTATTAGCCCCAAATCTATTCCACCTACCACTGCACCAAGCAGCATCTTTCTCTGATTACCAATTTGGGATAAATGTAAATGGCCTATATTTTACAGTTTTATCAAAGATAACTTCTAATATCAATGTGTTTGATGTTGCTAAAGATAAATTATTAATATTCTTATGTAATTTTATTTTGAAATGTCCCTTTGAGAAAATTCCCCTTTGTTTTAAATATCTTTATGACTCTTTTCATAAACAATGTTTTTTTTTATAAATAGATCCAATGAGTTTTCATAAATGATCATGAGTCCTTCATTGAATTGACTGTTAGCAAACTCAGAGTCAAATTTATGATCCATCTATAATAGAATGTAAATTATTATATGTAAATTGCATATTAATAAAATTGATTTTTACACAATCTACATAGTAATTTATGGTATCAAATTCATATACAGACCACACTCCTATTTTCACCTGATTTGCTTGGAATTACTTTAATTTTTGTCTTACCATTTATAATTAATTTAAAAGGTTATATAAATATATTATATATAATCTCTTAATCTCTTCTATGGAACAAAGTGATAGATTAAAAACAGGAAAAAGGGAATAAAAAGTGGGAAAATAAATTGTATTCATGTTATGGTCAAGTAATGAGCTACATTAATAGAAGGATATTATTTCTTTTGGTATAATATTGAGTAGTAAATAATAATTTCAGGCAAAAACGCAGTTGCTACCAGAACAAATTATGAATTCTTTCTTGTCTCTTGACTTAGAAAAAAATGTTAGATGGAACCAGTGCTTCAAGGCCTTTGCCAGCCTGTCTAGGAGTTTAGGATTCATGATTAATAAACTTTCCCACAATAATGAACCTCTGATTCACACCCAGAATAAGCTGATTTTCTATGATGTTCAAATCAACAAAAGAACAGAGGACAAGCTCTGTCTTCCAGAGAAAAGCTAGCTCTTGAATATACTCAGAGTCTGCAAAATCAACTAGAAAATTTGATGTACTCTCAAGGATTGCCAATAGTCAATACCAGGGGTCAGCAATCTACAGCCTATAGGCCAAAGCCAAACTGCCCTATTTATGTACTGCTTGTAAATAAGAAAGGTTTTTAAATTGGTAAGTGTTGGGGAAAAATCAAAAGAAAAATCCTGTTTTTCAGCATGCAAAAAAATATGAAGTTCAAATTTCAGTGTACAAACAAAGTTGTATTCCAACACAGCCATACCCATTTGTTTACATTTTGTCTATGGCTTTATTTTTTACTAAAACAGCAAAACTTAGGTTTGCAGCAAAGCTTAAAATTGTATCTGTCTGGCCCATTAGATTTTACAGACCCTTGCTCAAAACCATGGCTTGGGACACAGGACGAGTATTTGCTACATTTGCCATTGGTCCCATAGGGCCTTGCATATGCCTTCCATCAAGTTCCTTCAGACATCTGAAGAAAAGAACTTTCTTTTTCTATAGTTATCTATCTAGACACTCTCTGTGGGTCAAATTCTGTTCTGGCACATGCAAAACTAGCATCCTGATGCATTTGCAGATTCAAAGACAAACTGTTCCCATTACAATGGCTATTAATTCCCAAGCTTATTCTTTCATCTCTTTCACATCTGGCCTAAATAACCACATGATCACAATCATATTCCTGGTGACAGGAGAGAGAACTCGCCTGTGCCATTCTATAAAGGAAACTTAGATGTTTTGTGTGGGGGTTTTTTATTCCTTTCAAAATTTGGAAACTGGGTGATCCTTTTCAGTCTATCATGCAAAGCCTTTTCTTGGAGACACCCAAGGAAGATACTTGGTCCCTGTGTGACAGCAAAGCCTACTGCAAACTGTGGTCATGTGAGGAAAAGAAAAATCCAACTAGCTTTGTTCAATTATTAATTGTGCCTTCCACTGTGCAGAGTAGGACTGTGGTCCAGAGGGGAAAAAAAAAACGTACCTGTAATTAGCTCAACCCCACAGGGACATCAAGCCCTGAAAGGGAAAAGATTCCACACATTTGATGCATGGATTCCATATCATTTGATGACATGAGAAAGAGAAAGGGAAGAAAGATGCATGATATATTTTATTTATTTTAATAAGGAAAAGGATATTTATTATCTCTGAATTTTGTTCTTTTATTTATTTAATTTTTGAACTGTGGCTAGGCTATTTTGTTTCTCTTTCTTTTGATACTTGCAGTTTGTTTTCAAGTATATTGCAAGTATTTCTGAAAAGAGAAATTAGAAGATTGGTGAACTTCTTCTATGTACAAAGTCAATGCACTTACCTGACCAGGACTAGAAGAAATTGATACTTTCTGTGCTTGTCTTTCTTATACTTCTTATTTCTTATTTTTTTCTCCTCTTAGTTAGTTATTTTACATAGTCCAAATGATGTGTCATGCATGTGGTTATTAAATGTGACCTATTTTCTCCCTTAATTAAGTTAGACTTTCATAATCCTGTGACTCCCAGGGGGCAATTGCACCATAACATGTATTTTCTATGGAGTGTTTGATCTCTCTTCTGTGAGCAGTGCTGTTCCCCTTTTCATTTAACTTTGTTTCTAAATCTTTCTCTTACCATCATAAGATAGTCCCTTTCTCCAGTGTTCATCATGTGATGTCAGGTTTGCTCAGGCTTACAGAAACAGTTTTTCTACAAAGTGTTTACAACCTCAGTAGCATTTTAGACCTGGAAAGCTCAAAAGGCATAGTGAGGATTATCCCCTTAAACTGAGAACAACTCAGGAAGTATTGTGTAATTTTCTCTATCCAGAAGCCATATTTGACATCAACACAAAGAGTATAGCAGTGTTACTTAGAAAATATTTTGTATTTTGATGGAGTGAGTGGGAGAACATTGTACTAGGAGAAGCCAAGAATACCCAAGGAGTCTGAAATTCCATTTTCTTATTAAACCCTGGGTTTTAATCGCTTGGTCTGAGATTGTCCTTTCAATTCCTTTTCACATCTGAATCCTATACTAATGGTTCTCTTGAACTCAATTCATGCTCTGTCTTATTTCCATATGTATAGCTCATCTCATTTTACTAGCATAGTCTCTGGCTACACGGGTTTGAGAAAAATATATTTCATGAAACTGAATTCATTTATGTTAGTTAAATTCAAAACTACAAATTATAAGTACCTATTACCTGGCCTTTCCACTTAGCATTTTAGAATATAGGACATCATGTTAACATGTAGAACATATCATCTACGCATTAAGTTCTAGGAAATAATTTCTCTGGGGTTTTCTCATATGAACTTTCCAGCAGGTTCTGTGAGTCCATCTTGGTAGCATATGAATGAATAAGAGTCAAACCTAGGCACTTTGTTGATAAAGACTATTGACCACATGGTCACAATTCAAAGGAGAATAATGGTTCAACTTGTTCTATTAATTGCCTTCATTTTATCCTTGCATTTAAAATTTTTAATATTCCCGTTTTCTTTTTTAAAAAGTAGATAAAATAAGAAAATGTATTGTTTTTACCTCAGCAGATTGTATGTTGATTTCAAGA